AGCATTTCTACTAACAGCATTTAAAGGACCGTCGTTTTGAACTAAGGAATGAGGAAGGTTTCCTTTAAGAAAGGCATCCTCCTTTACTCAGAAGAGTTAGGGGTATGTTTGGGATGGGGGGGTTGCCTACAAGGTTTTAGGTGCACAAGGGCAGAGGAAAAAGGTTGTCAGGGCACATCCCAAAAGCTACGCTTCAGCTCATAAATTAAGGGACAGGAGGACGCTTTTCCATTTTTCAAATGACTACTTAAATTTCTGCTATCCAGGCCGGCGCCGCGGCTCAATAGGCAATCCTCCGCCTGCGGCGCCGGCACCCCCGGGTTCTAGTCCCAGTTGGGGTGCCGGATTCTGTCCCGGTTGCCCCTCTTCCAGGCCAGCTCTCTGCTGTCGCCCGGGAGTGCAGTGGAGGATGGCCCAGGTGCTTGGGCCCTGCACCCGCATGGGAGACCAGGAGAAGCACCTGGCTCCTGGCTTCAGATCAGCGGGGTGCGCTGGCTGCAGCACGCCGGCCGCGGCGGCCATTGGAGGGTGAACCAATGGCAAAAGGAAGACCTTTCTCTCTGTCTCTCTCTCTCACTATCCACTCTGCCTGTCAAAAAAAAAAAAAAAAAATTCTGCTATCCGGAAATTTATCTGATGTGAAATATTCTCACTCCCAAATGGAGTCTGAAAGGTGAGGGACAGACAAGAAACTGGAGACCCTGTGAGAGCATCCTTACAGTGAATGGCACTTGCTGGCCTGGCCACCCAGGGTTTTACTGTTCTCTCCTGGAGTCTATCACCAGTCACCCGCATGCCTGGAAAAGAATGGGACAGTGCAGAGAGAGAACTAAAACGCACGAAAAGTGCTCAGAGCAGACGTACTGATCAACCACAGCCTAAAGAGAAAGTCAGCGTGTCCACAGCTCATGTGCACACAGCCGCCTCTCCCATCTGCCTCGAGGCTTTTTGGAACAATGAGCAGCCTGGCAGGGTGCAGGGGACTCCCAGTGGATGAGCGCCTGGAGTTCGCTCTTCCCAGGCTCACTCATTTCCTCTAAGTGTGCCTTTAAGTCCCATCTGAACGGCCGGTCTACTGAACACCTGAGCATACCTGCATTTTATTACCAATAGCAGCTTAAACCGGAAAAGCACACCGTTAGGCAGGAAGATAGAGAAACAAGAGCCAGTACCCAGGATGGTCATCCTGTGCCCAGGAGAAAGCTTTGGAAGGGGCAGCTGGCGTGGTCATCCCCCCAAACTCCCTTTTCCTTGGGGGTACGCAGCTGCATCAGAGGGGACGCTCACCAGGGTAATTCACAGCGACACCAAAGACAGTCCTGTCTACTGAGATGGTTTGGCTATGCCAGATGCGTGATTTCAGGCACACTCAAGCCCTTGGGAGCGGATTCAACTGATAAATTATAGCCCAACAGAGCGGTGGGCCTCGGAGAGTAACAACTACTCGAACGATCCAGCATTTGTGAACTGTGAAAAGTAGAAATGCCGTGGAAATGGTGTTGTAGCACTGTGGATTAAGTCGCTGACTAAGACACCAACATCCTGTCGAGTGCTGGTTTGAGGCCCAGCTGCCCAGCTTCAGATCCAACTCCCTGCTAATGTGCCTGGGAAAGCAGTGGATGATGGCCCAAGGGCATGGAACCCTACCTCCCACGTGGGAGGCCGGGGTGGAGTTCTGGGCTTCCCCTGTGCAGCCCAGAGAGGACTGGCTGTGAGAGGGGACACTGATGATCCCAGGTGGAAAACATGAACACTGATCCCAGAGAACGGAAGTAGACACTGTGGCCAGAGCCCTTATTCTGACACCGGGAGGGAAGACACACCTGTCACGTGAGTTCAAGTTCAAGCAACTCAAAATCACCATCATTCACCTGTCATTCAACAGAGGCGACACTGAGTGACTGCATTTCCTTGAGTGTGACTTAACTGTCACTACAACCAATGACCTTAATAAATCAGATGAAGTATAATACCCTAACTATTGCTGTCAGAAAATGTTTCAACCAATCCTTATTGAAAATCTATTACACCCCAGGCTCCATATACCAACTTGCACTTGGCTTTTTGATTCCATATCTTCATGGGGTGGATAAATGGATACGATTTCTTAGCAAAGACAAAGAAGTACATTCTTGGAGAAAGAAAAATAGAATCTGAACATTAAAAATCTTTGTGCTGGTGTAGCATTGGGCTGGGTTGGAAGGGGGGTGGTGTTGATAGTTGACTTAGAAAATTTCTATTTAGGTGAAGAAAGAAAGATGTAACCAGATGGAATTGAAGGAATTCAGAATATGCCTTTTTGCCCAAAAAAAACCCACAGCAGTCGCTCAGAAAGTGTTTCTTGCAGTCTCCTATTCCACTGTTTATCCACGCATAGCAACCCAGCTACAAGCGCAGAGCTGCTGTCACTTGGGTCCTATGGAAGACAGCCATGGATCATTTTCATCTCAGACTCTGCAGGATCAGGCTTGGGCCAGTAATCCTTAATTCTCCACCCATAAAGCACAAAACATGTAGTCTATTCTTTTTAAGTATACACACATGCATGAAACCCAGAAGTTTATACATGTATAGGTTGTTTTCTCACTGCTTGCATAACTAAAAAAAAAAAAAAAGGGCTTATAGTTAAAAATAGAACTTGGCAAATGAAGAGTCCATAATACGGACCAAGTGCATTTGGAACACTTTAATAAGAAGAAACGGCCAAAATATTTCACTTTGGAAAGCGAGCACTGTCCAGGCACGCCATTCCTTCGGACCTCATAGTCTGCCACCTTCGGCTAGGCCAGCATACGTTTTCAGAGGGCCTTGTTTCCCGGGCACCATCAGTATGTGAGAAAAAGTGATTTCTGAACAACAGATTACCAATCCCCAGTTACCCCACCGATTAAAATTAATTTCCTTTTTACCAAGACTCCTGATTTTCCCGATGCATACCTGCATTGCTATAATATATAATATTATATATATATAATATTCAGTGTCTCACAATTCTGAACTGCTTTTCTCTTAATACTACATTCTGAACACTTCTCATGTCGTCCCATATTCCCAGCGTCCATATTTTACACAATATTTCTGACTTTCATGCTGTCTCCCTTTGGTCTGGGATTAGGACAACATTTACACTTTGAAAACCTGAGACACTCTCCATATTTTCTTATGCTCAAGGAAAAATGTATGAAACATGGGAATTAATTATTTGTTCAAAGTTTGGGGGGAAAACTCACAGTGGAACTACAAAGCCACATGTTTTGGGTAGCAGATTTACTAAAAACTGGAATTGTTCCTGAAGAACTGACCTTTTAAAATGTTCTTGTTTATGAATTTATAATTTAATTTCTGTGGAAAAGACCAATTCAACCCATATACTGAAATGCATCATGACCTAGCAACTCTTTATGTATTGCATATGTTCAAACAATTGTGCACAGTACTTTTTCATAATTTTTTGAAAATCTCTTTTATTTAACAACTGTACTAGGTGCTATGTCTGCTTTGTTACTTCCAACTTTGTGCTAATTTTTGCTTGTTCATTTTATTGCTTTCAACGAGTCAACTTTTGATTGATTTCTGGCTTCCCACTTTACCTTCCTATGTGTCATTTTTAAATTTTTCAGTTATCTACTTTTGAACAACTTGATATATTTTCCTTTCTTGAAAAATAAGTATTCTTAAAGCTCCAAATTATCTCCAACTTCTCTGGTCACATTAGGTAGCTAGCAACATGTAGGTCCCTCATTTTCATCATTGGTTAAATAAACTTGGGCTTTGTCCTAGACCAAATTATCACTTAGATTACTTCTGTAGTTCCGAGCGCTTGGAATTGTTTTGTTGGAGATGTAAACAGAAAATGTTTTAATCTGAATCCTTACAGATAATATGTCTCGTACAAATCTGTAAACACCTGAATATCAGATTTCTGGCTGGATAGTCTCAAGGGGTGTATTAACAGACCAAGTTTAGATGCCTTTATAAAGCCTATTGCTAACAGGGTCAAGGTCCTCTGGATTACAATGACTGCACACTGTAACATTTGTGTGGTGTGTATCAGAGGACCTACGGTATCAGACTGCAGTAAACGGTGATGGTGGGTGGAGCCACAGCAGGGACAGCGGTCTCCAGTAGCGACACTCTTGTGTGTCATGTGCAGGCTCAGGTGCACAGTGGGTTAGGAGAACCATGCCTACTCCATGTTCCTGGGCTGGGTTTCCTTATCTGTGACATTTTTCTGAAATTGCTTCCAGCTCTTCGTTCCAAATCTCACTTGTTGGCATTCTCGGGCCCAGATTCTGTCTACACCAGATGGGGGTCAGGTGCACCCCCTTTCTTACAGGGCAATCTGTGGCAACACCTTCAGAGCAGTTCTCTCTGGAAGCTGAACTCCAGGACAGACAAGTTCTACTACACGTCCTGTGACTACACCTGAAAGCGGGGGACAGGTACAATGGAGTCAGTATTTCGGGAATGCAAGCAAACATTTCCAAGCTATTGATCAGCTTGCTTGTGCTTTCCAGGAATGAGAGTGACATTTCCAAAGGAACTGAAGCCAGACCTGCCCTTTCCCTTCACAACAGCTTGGCCCTCGGGTTAATTTGTGTTCATTTCCCATCGCTATTAGCAATCAGAGCAGTTCAGAGGAAAGACGGAATTCGAAGTATTTGCCCGACTGGCTACCACACAGCAGGTTCCTTCCTCACAAGTTATTCAGAAAGGCCAAGACAGGAAACTTCGTCATGATTCATGTAAAAAGCATCACTGGCAATGAAAATTCTTGCCCTTATTATTAAAACTGAAAATTTCTTAGCACCTGCACGACCAACATCTCCTCCCAAATCCCTCAAATGACGGCTACCAGAACGAAAGCTTGAGGCTGACTTATGAGCAAGACACGCACCATCTCATGTCTTTGTACCGCGTCGCCATCTAGCCCTCTGCTGAGGGTTTAGTTCAGGCTTAAACGAGGTCTCGCGTAAGGACAGCCGGACGCGCCCACTCACCTGTACGGTAGACAAAGTTGCCCTCTGCTTCTGACGATGACGATGGAGACACCAGCTCTTCCTCAAATTCGTTGGAGCTAAAAGATCCTGAGTGGTTCCTCTGCCTTGTTTTCCCCACCCTGGTGGTGTTCGTGGCCATAACGTGTCTCAAAGAGTCGTTAAGGTAGCGGTTCAACAAGCTGCTCTTGTATTTCGGGGGTGACACGTAGTCCTCGCTGGCCCCCGACTCTGGCCTCACCCCAGCTTTTACGGCTGAGCTCTCGCTTTTGGTCGCAGTGTGATGAACTGGAGCGGGATACACCCCTTCGTTCATGTGGTCTCTGGGAGGATTTTCCCCATCTAAGGAGAAAAAGATCATCAGGTAGTCCTCTTCCTACTCACTTTCCCCTCAACTGCCTTACTGGTCTATTTAACCAGTAAAAATACACGGGAACCACATATAAAGTGTATAACATTATCTTTGATATTCAAGAATAACTTTTAGGCCAAAGAGTTCAGGAATGGGGTGCAGCAAGGTAAGCCATCGCCTGCACCCCATATGGGCACTGGTTCCAGTCCCAGCTGCTCCACTTCCGATCCAGCTTCCTGCTAATGCGCCTGGGAAAACAGTGGAAGATGGCCTGAGTCTTGGGCCCCTGCCACCCATGTGGGAGACTCAAATGGAGCTCTAGGCTCCTGGCTTTGGGCTGGCCCAACCCTGACCACTGCAGTCATCTGGGGAGTGAACCAGTGGATGGAAAATCTCTCTCTCTTTCTCTATAACCATGACTTTCAAATAAATTAATAAATCTTTAAAAAAAAACCAAAGCAGGAATGCATTTAATGTTAATGAATTTCACAGAAAACCTTATTCCCATACAGAATAAATCAATAAACAAGAGGGACCAGTCAATATCCTGTACTGTTAAAATGGCATCAGCTCAAGCAGGAAAACAGGGGCTGTTACAGCGCTGTTTTATCTTGTGGGGTTCACCTTTTTTATTTTTTTTATTTATTTTTTATTTTTATTTTTTTTGACAGGCAGAGTGGACAGTGAGAGAGAGAGACAGAGAGAAAGGTCTTCCTTTGCCGTTGGTTCACCCTCCAATGGCCGCCGCGGCCAGCGCGCTGCGCTGATCCGATGGCAGGAGCCAGGAGCCAGGTGCTTTTCCTGGTCTCCCATGGGGTGCAGGGCCCAAGCACCTGGGCCATCCTCCACTGCACTCCCTGGCCACAGCAGAGGGCTGGCCTGGAAGAGGGGCAACCGGGACAGAATCCGGCGCCCCGACCGGGACTAGAAACCGGTGTGCCAGCGCCGCTAGGCGGAGGATTAGCCTAGTGAGCTGCGGCGCCGGCCCATTTTTATTTTTATTTTTTATTTTTTTTGACAGGCAGAGTGGACAGTGAGAGAGAGAGACAGAGAGAAAGGTCCTCCCCCGCCGTTGGTTCACCCTCCAATGGCCGCCGCAGCCAGCGCGCTGCGGCCGGTGCACTGCGCTGATCCGATGGCAGGAGCCAGGTGCTTCTCCTGGTCTCCCATGGGGTGCAGGGCCCAAGCACTTGGGCCATCCTCCACTGCACTCCCAGGCCACAGCAGAGAGCTGGCCTGGAAGAGGGGCAACCGGGACAGAATCCAGCGCCCCGACCGGGACTAGAACCCGGTGTGCCGGCGCCGCCAGGCGGAGGATTAGCCTAGTGAGCTGCGGCGCCGGCTTTGTGGGGTTCACCTTTAAAAATAGCGACTAAGATAGAGAAGGAATTGCAGAGGCAAAGCAAAGAAAGTGCAATGAAAAGAGGAACCAACCTTCGGAACACGAGTCATCGCTGCTCACGCTGAGCCGCTCGGCGTTCCCTTGCACGTACTTGTTGTACAGCTTTATTCTTAAGGCCCAGCTCAGATCCGGCTGCCGAACAGTGTTCTTAAGCCGACGTCTTGCGTTTGCAAACCAATTTGACACCTACAACGGTATTGCGTTTCGATGACCAACACAGAAGAACGTGCCCGATCATCTAGTGGGGACTGGGGAAGGAACTAAGGCTCTGCCAGCATCCCGATGAATAAGAGGACTGCACACTCCCTCCCGTTCATCCACTCACTCAGCAAACACGCCTAGGGGACGCCACAGAGGTTGGCGCTCTCTGGATTCAGGGAATAAGAAAAAGGAAGAGGTCTTGCCATCCAAAGTGGTGTCACCACTTCTGACACCAGCATCCCATATAAGCACCAGGGAAAGTCCAGCCTGCTCCACTTCTGATCCGGCTCCCTCCTAATGCACCTGGGAAGGCAGCAGAAGATGGTCCAGGTGCTTGGGCCCCTGCCACCCAAATGGGAGACCCCACGGAGTTCCTGGTCTTTGGGGAATGAACCAGCAGCATGAAGGGCTCTCTTTCTTTCTGTCTCGCTCTCTCTCTTTGTGTCATTCTGCCTTTCAAATAATGCATTTTTTTAAGCAAGACAATAGCCAACACAACAAAGAATACGATGACAGGCAATGCAAAGGGAACAGGGGTGACTCTGACACGTGACTGGACGCTTCTTGAGGAACCTAAGCCTGTCTTGGAGAAAGGCCAGGCTATGTCAGGCAGGCAGAATGGGCAGGAAGTGGAGCCCAAGGAAGAGGACTCTGAGAGGTAGGCAGAGGGGGAAAATGCAGACGAACACCCTGCTTTAAGCTGAAAGTAAAGCGTCTCCCAAGCACACGGGTGAAGGACAAGAAAGAACACTCCAAAACAAAGAAATGCAATTTCCGATCTCGTTTTTAAGGTGCCACTGTTTTCCAGAGGCTAAAATGATACCTGAGGTTTCCTCTAAAATACCAAGCTCTCATCACTACGTGGGTTTTTCTTTTTGTAAAAAAACACAACCTGAAACAGCAATATTTGCTTTCATAAAAATGAAACAGGGGAGGAGAATGAAGTCTTTCTGCCAATTGCTTCCAGAACATGACCTTGTATTACTATAATGGTTTGTGCGGCAATGTTTGCCCTGGACGTTTCCCTTCTTTCTTTGTTTTAAGAGTCTACTATAAATATGCAATTTTCACACATTGCTCAAGCCCTAATTATTGGATGGAACTGTGGTGAATTCTACTCTAAATACAAAATTACATTTCCCCCTTCTTGTTCCCATGAGTAAGACATGGTGATTTTCCCACATCTATTCAATATACTCAGTACTACCTCCTTGGTGCCTTAACCACTGGTAACCATCTTTCCAAGTTCAGGTCCAATGGTGCAACATCATGCCTGGGCAGGTCTCACTTCACAGCTTCAGTCTGTCCCATCCTCTATACACAGACAACTTCTGGCACTATTCACTAACACCTAATACACTAACTAATACACTAACACACTAATACACTCTGGCCATGGCGCTAAGTGCTAGGAACAGGTAACGTTGGGGTAATGTTGGTCTCGTACGCTCTGGAAGAACCAGCCGTGAAGAATTAGACACAATTAACTGGGATGCGTGGGTTAACACCACAGTGAGCGCTTGCCATGGAAGCACCTCTTTTCTTTCTCCCATTTCTCAAACCTCCCTCCTTCCCATTCTCCAATTCACTGCCAAAATTTTCATCCAACTCTTCACTACTCCGAGCTGGGAATTCTAGAACATTCTTCTTTCTAAATTTCCTGTCTCCCATTCTCTTTTTTCCTCTTCAATGGATCTTAACCAGCCATCATCAAATTCCAATGTTGATGCGCCCTTCTGATTGAATCTAGTTTCCTGTTCTGAATTCGCCAAAGACATGCTGTGCGAACTCAGTAAGCCATTCAGCCTTCCCCTATCTCAATCCCTTCATCTACTATAAAATGCATTCAATGATCCTTGCCAGCTCTAAAGACAAAGTTCTGTGAATGCAGCCCAAGCTCTCCTGGGACAGAGTCAATTTCCCCTGTAGTGGGTCTGGATCTCCCCTCTGCCCTCCACCACTGCTCTCTCTAGTTTCTGTCTCTTCCTGGCTCCTCTCCCGCCCACAGGACAGCCGCCTCAACTTCCCCCTCACTCACACTGATTAGACTCCAACGCCAAATCGTTTGTTATATCAGCAGCACAGAAGTCAGACTAACCTTAAATCTTAGCACAACCTGGCAGAGTACTCACATAGTGTAAAATGCAAGTCTTAAGATGAAATTCGTTCTACAAGGAAAACGCAAGGGGCTGCTGCTGCTGCTGCTGCTTTTTTTGGACATTGACTGAAACGCATTTCTTGAGTCTTAGCCCCAGAGATTTTTTTTTTTTTTTTTAACAAGCACCCATCATCTGTGATGTGTATTCTTTGCTTTGCTTTGCTTGCTTTCTTTTCTAGATTTACTTATTTACTTGAAAGTCAGAGTTACAGAGAGATCTTCCATCCATTGGCTCACTCCCCAGATGGCCACAACAGAGAGGGCTGGGCCAGGCCAAAGCCAAGAGCTTCATTTGGGTCTCCCACTTAGGTGGCGGCAGCCCAAGCACTTGGGCCATCTTCCAGTGCTTTTCCCAGGCCATTAGCAGGGAGCTGGATCGGAGGTGGAGCAGCCAGGACTCAAACCGGCACCCACATGGGATGCTGGCTTTGCAAGCATGAGCTTTACTTGCTACACCACAATGCCAGCCCCCTGGCAGACTTCTAATCTACAAAAATTAACACGCTGTAATTACAACATACAACATGGAGTTTGTAAATGTCATGGGGATTGGCTAGTTCTTCACATATGGGGGTCTTACGCTTTTTTTCCTTTTTGATACACTCATGCATAGTGCTAACCATATTACAATCATTACACATGAGACTTTCCAGAAGGCCTTGCCACTAACATAACTGTTTCTCAACTGATTGCATAAGTTTGATTGGTGCCCATTCTGCTAATATATTTACTCCCCCAGAACTTCACAGTCCAGCCTGGCCACTGGATGCAGTCTGACTTGTTTAATACCTATTTGCAGTAAGGCCCACAAGCAGCAAACAGCAAGCAAACAAATCGGCATAAGTTCTGTTTTGCAAATTTTTCCTGACGACTTAAGGCAAATTCCCTGTTCCACTGAAGGTAAAAATACCAGTTCAAATTTCCTACATTTTACATACTACAGATTCCTTCAAGTTGTCCGTTGTATTCTCTTTAAATTGTGTTCTACATGAACTAGGCCAAGGGTAGGTTCTGGAACAATATCTGAATGTCAAACTCGGTGCTTTTAAAAACCCTGTATTTTATAGTGAAAGTTGAGAGAGCCAAAATAGCTAGGAGTTGGAAGAGAAAACATAGCAATTTCCATCCTACTCTAACAGAGGTGTTTACGTTTAGTGTATTGACAGAGCAATCATTACAGAGAAGCCAAAGGAATTTAATTGGCCTCTGTCCATCACCGAATGTACTGAATTAACAAATTTATTCTGAGTTATTAAACGGCGATACTGGGTCCCTCAGTTCCACACTGTGTAGTGTTAACACTAGGGATAATGTGTAAGAACCAGTCTGAGGTCTTGTTGGCTCCTGCATAGTTGGTATGAGCCTTGTAGTAGACAACGACAATACATGTCTGCAGAAAAGTTAAACACCAAGCAAAAACACAGCTATGTCAATAGAGGGGGTGCCATCTTGCAACACAGCAATTTTAACCAAATGGTAAGTGGATCCATCACAGGAAATTGAAACTTTTGTTTTAAGAGGAGGAAGTACTAAGATACAATTATTACTACTCGGTAAGTTCCACTTCCTACAAAATACAAAACCCTAGTCACTTATCACTTATTTACTCATTGTTCCACAGTGAAGTGTATATATTTTGAGAGTACACAGTAAATTTTTATAATGTTTGAACACTGCTCAGTCACAGGGACCAAGGACAGTGGAATATTTTGATGAGTCAAAGTCAAAGAACATACACACACACACACACACACACAGACAAGCAATCATCTCCCTATTAATGTCATAAAAATGCTTAAGAAATAAGATGCCAGATTAATAGTGTGAATGGCATCAAACACAGCTATAGTAAATTATGAGAAGCTAACAAGCCCAGCGAGTAGAAATACATGAAAGTTGCATAAATAGTTCTTCCCGCTTCATTTTTCAAGGATGAAGAAATGTATGTGCCATGAATGGCCTCAGATCTATTTATTGGAATATTTGGTCTTCCAGAATATTTCTAAGATTTCAGCTTTTTATTTCTAGGCTGCAACAGAGATTGCTGACCAATCCTTATACCTTTCCTTATTGAGAGTGGAAAAATAAAGTGAAATTATTCTGAATGAAGTCTGGCACACAAACCAAACAAAAACATTAAGTGCAATTGCAATAGAAATTCTCAAAGCATAAGGTTTTGGGAGCTTAAGGAACACAAGTTATGCTGACAGCTTGTTAATTAGGTAAGAAAAGGAGACTGGAGATGCTGCAGTAAACAAGAAATACCCATTTGAATAGAAACAAGGGAGACGCTCCATCTTTGTCTATAGACATAAACGCACCTATGCTTGTCTGCAGAACATCTTATGGATTCAAGATGGTGAGCTGCCCTCTGCAAGCTCCCTTCAGTGGGACAGAGTTTAAAACTAGACTACCTTAACTCAACTTTCAAGACTGTCTTTAGTTGTCACAAAGGTGCCTCAGAACGTCCTAAGGTGATTGCAGTGTTATGAAAAGCACCATGCTTGGGTGGTACAGCATACAAAGGAGAGAGAGTCATGGTCACTCTTCCCAAGGAAGGAGCCGGACTCCACAGGGAACATTTACTCACCGGGAGAATATGACTCATTACATAAGGGTCTAATTTGCAGGGATCAAAAGCTGTATTCAGATCATAGCTTTATGTTTTTTCCCTAAAAGCATAAAGTATTTATGTAATCTATGTAGAACTCCACAGAGTCAGAATTTAATCTGAATGTGTAATTTATGTCTGACTTATACACATCCCCATGTATGTACTTATTTGTATTTATATATTTGTATGTTGTGTTTACATATTTGTGCATATATTTACATACATTATGTGTGTGTGTGTGTGTCTTCTTATTACATAGACATCTCACTGTGCCTAACTGAAAACAATTGGACCTGCGGTGAACTTTTGGCATGGTGTTTAAGACTCCTGCATCCCACTTCAGAGTGCCTGGGTTCGAGTCCCAGCACTGCTTCTGATCCAGCTTCCTTTTACTGCACAACCTGGGAGACAGCAGGTGCTGGCTCAAGAAGTTGGGTTCCTGCCCACCATGTGGGAGACCCAAATGGAGTTCCTGGCTCCTGGCTTTGGCCTGGCCCAGCCTGGCTATTGTGGGCACCTGGGAAGTAAATCAGTGGGTGGAAAATCTGTCTCTTTCTCTCTGCCTTTCAGATAAATGAAAATAAATAAAAACTAAAAGAACTGGGTTATGTATAGGGTCACTGTAAATTTTATTATTTAGATTTTTTTCACTTAGCTTTTTAAAGTTCCATAATTCCACTTCATTTATGGTAAAATTGAAAATCATCAGATGAGAGATCTTCAAAAATTTCATGGAAAATGCACGTTCGGAAAAAACTTTGTCAAAAGCCTTTTTTTTTAACCAAAATTTACTTATCTTTTACATTTTCCACAAATTTACCAAGTGTCTTGGACAGCTGTAACTTATTATAAACAGTTTAGTCAATCTAAAAATCACATAGTTTGTGCATTTTTATTTTCTGGTGAGTAATGTAAGAAAAAGAAAGAGGTTTTGAATGAAAATTTCATATAAATTAGAAACACTGTCTTTCCAAGATCTAAATGCAAAAAGATTTATGATTTGCATTTGAAATATCATTACAGACACTTTGGTTTTATACTAAAATTGCAACTACTTGTACTTCAGCTCAACAAAACAGCTGCATAAGAAAACTTAAAGGTCTCTCCTAATGACTTTTCCTAACTAAAAATGTTCTAAAATATGTAATAAATATTTTTTGCAGTGGCACGCATTCAGTATGGAGCTATACAATCAGCTCAAACAATCTGCTTTATTGCTGACACCACTGTGAAATACTCCAGTAGCTACAAAGATTCATGGATTTCAAAAGAAATAGCCTACCTGTTTAAATTGAAATCTGAGCATACACATGTATTTTCCTAAGTCAAGTTTTTCTGACTCGAATAATCCATTTAGAAACTACTTCTATAAATCACCGCAAAATTCACAGTTTTATGTCAGACAGATATCATGCCAAGAACACTAAATAGTCCCCTCCAGTGCTGGGGCAAATTACTAATAATACAACCCCCGGAAACATGTTTTTCTCTACAACCGTATTCTGAGAATCAGGGGACAAATACGTCTCAGAGTTCTGATAAGTCTGACTACAAGTTAGTCTTCATTCTTTGTCCAACTTTTGAGCAGTTCCTAAAGGACTATGTAAAATACTTTGGAAAATTTCAATCAAGATTCGGGGGGTGTGTGTGTGTGCATGTGTGTGTGTGTTTCCCCTTGCTGTAGATTTACCACGATGGTAGCAAATCATTCACAAAGGCAGCCAGGTACTGTTACCGCAACGCATTAAGCATCTCAACTCACCCAGATTCTCCCCTGCCTCCCTTTCAGAATCAACGCGCTGTGTGTGTAGATACCCAAGCTCACACCACCTTATTTCTGCAGCAGACACAGCGCCGGCTCTGGAGTGAGCAGCTTCCCGGGCCTACCTCTGCTTCTCCCGGCCTTGGGTGCTTCCTCCCCGCCATGTTGGTACCCAGTGCTGCACATCACCGAGTTTGGGTGAACAGCCAATAAGATGTGTGGGAAAGCGAACCCCACGTGCAGCAAGCAGCCTTGCTCATCAGAGAATAAACACAGGGCAGGGCTAGTTCCCTACGCCCGCCCATCTGAAGCTGCCTCCTCTCCCTAAGCCATGCCAATTTTAAAAAGGACCATCGAAAAAGTGCTGTGGGTTCCAGCTAATGTCACGATGCTTCCTGTCTATTAAAAAAAAAAAAAAAAGAGGCGTGAGGGACCCACAAGCCACTTCTTGCCTTTGCATCCACGTCCCTGCCTCTGTCTGCGATGTCGTTTTCAAAGTAATCCTGCGCTTAAAAGCTTTGCTACCAGGCCCTGACACCGGCCACCAGGGCGGCCGCGTGGCTCTTAAAAGCGGGATCCAGGGCCCGCAGCCCCAGCATCCCTGACTTACCGCATCACAAACTCCGAGGTGCGACCCAGGAATGCGTGTCTTAACCTTGGGGAACGCTCTAGTCTTACAAACCCCTGCGCAACTTGGCAAGTGACTGCTCCCTTCCCCGGCTCAAGGGCATATCCCGTCCGACCACGCACACCAGCACCGCACCCTTAGACGCGCGACACCCAGAAAACTCCGTGCGGGAAGCACTCCGCCGAAGCACCTGCGCTGCGCCGGGGACGTCTCGGCCGCAGGAGCGCGCGCGGGAACGCCCCATTCTAGTCCCAGGGAGGAGCTGCCATGTGGGGACCCGCACGAACCGCACCCCGCGCGCAGGCTTGTCCGGCCCCCGGGGCCTGGCGACGGCTCGGAGGGGCGTGGCGGGGGGGTGCTCCATTCCTTACCTGCACCAGTGTCATCTGAGAACCGAGGGCCAGGAGAATCTTCTCGGTCTTGGTGGGGTATGGGTTGTCGCGGTGCTTGTAAAGCCACTGCTTCAGGGGCCGCGCCATGTCTTGCAGGGCTTGCCGCTTGTGTCTCACCTTCCCGCCATTCTGCCGGGACCTGGGGGGGTGGGGGTGGGAGTGGGGGAGGGAAAGAAGGGGTCCAGGTGAGCGGCGCCGGCAGGGGGCGGCGGGTCCAGCCCCTCCAAGCCGCCGGGCTTCCCTAGGCGGGCTGCGCCACCGCGCGCCCCGAGGTGGGGACGAGGCACGGGATGCAGGCCACGCTTCTGCGCGGGGACATCACGGCCTCGGTTTCTGCGGCCTGCTTGTCGCGGAGGTGCCAAGTGGGCAGCGCAGGGCGCTCGCTAGGTTTAGCTCTCAAAGAGGAGGGTGATGTCCCGCGTGCGGCAGCCCACAGGTCATTCAAATAGCACAGGGGGCAGTAGGGTCCTGCCCCCAAGCCTGCTGGCTTTGTACGGCCCCAAGCCTGAAGGCGGGCGCATACAGGAGGCAGGCCGCCCACTCCTCCCCCCAGCTCTCTGCCAGCCTCTCACCTACTCCTCTGGATTAGCACAAAAAACGGGGACCCTTTTCCCAGGGAGTCTGGATGTAGAGCGAGGCCGTTTCCCAAGTCGGGGAGCATGGTTATCCGTCCGGGCCGCCGTGTCCCCCCACGTCAAGGTAGCAAAGGTCTCAAGGAAAGCACGTTCCAAGGAGAAGTGGGCAGGGAGACACCAGGAGCCGGGCGCTGGATGCGGCGTGCGCTCCCCGGGCGCTCCGGGAGGTGTCGCCGCCCGCCGCCCGCCGCCCGGGGAGCAACGCGCGCCTGCGCCGCAGCCTCCTGGGCCACTTCCCTCACTCCACGCTTGGAAAAGCGGCTCCGTCCCAACCGACCATTGGTCACGTTGAACGAACCCTAGAGCCTCCTTCACTGACCGGCAACGCCGCGGGACAAGCAGCTGATGCAATCTTTGAGGTGCGGGCAACCTGAACGGCGGCCCCTGTGCGCGCGTAGGGGGTGCGCCTGGAGTCTCCAGGACCTGGCAGGGCAGGCGCTGCGTTCCACGCCCCTGCAGCCGCAGGGCAGCTGGCCCACCCCGTCCCGTCCCTCTCCCTGCTAAACCGAAAGCTGCCGGAGTCCCCCTCCGGGTTCGCTGAGGGCCCCACCGAGCTGCGTGCGTCCCCCCCACACCCCGCACGCCCCGCAGGAAGCAGACCTTCCAAACACCTCCTCCGAGGCCCGCGGCGGGGCCTCTCGGGCCCTGCCCTGTTCCTGCGCAGCTGGCGCAGCGCCTAATGCGCCCGTGGTCCTTAGAGGGGCAGGGAGCCCACCCACCCACCCTGGTGTCCAGGGAATGGAGGACCACCTTGGGGGTAGCTCCTGGAGTGGAGTTTCCATCGCCCCTCTGCCGAAATGTCCTGGCGAACCGGATCCTCCTAATTCGAGACACTAACCCCCCGTGCAATGGGAAATGAGAGCGCAAAAGGCGCAGAGCCTGGCTTCCGAGGGAACCCCGGATCCCTGGCCCGCGCTCCCACTCGACCCCACCCACGCCGCCGCTCGCCGCGCCCGCCAGCCTCAAGCCCAGGGCCGGCAGGACCCCCGGTATGGTGCTCATACCCGGTCCTCCGGTGTCGCAGGCCAAGGTTGTCCTTGAGGGGCGGGCCGTCGGGGAGGCCCACCTCGGGGCGGTCGTGGGGACTGTCCAGGACGCCTCCGCCGCCGCCTCCGTAGGGCCGGCCGCCCCGCTCCCGCTCCGGAGCGCCTCGCTCCTCAAACAGCACGGCGCCGCCGAGTTTATTGAAGACGATGGTGTTCATGGTGCGGGCTGGCGGGGGCGCGCGGTGCGGCCGCAGCGCCTCGGGGCCGGGCTGCCCGGAGCTCGGCGACAGGGCTCGGGTTCTAGGACACGAAGGTGCATCTCGTTACTCGCCGACCGCGCTCAGGGCCCGCGCGCAGCCCCCCGGACCCCGAACTCCGCCGTGTCTGCGCCGGCGAGCCCCCCCTCCCCCGCCTCCCCGCACCTGGAGCAGGCGCAGGGCGGCGCGCATTGGGAAAGGAACGGGAGCTTTGGAGTAAAAGGAATAACCGCATCCCCAAGTCGCAATTAATGAAGCCCAGGCCATAACCCGGGGTCTCTGTATAACAGCCTCTTTTTGCTAAAGTCTCTAGGGATGGGGATGGCGGGGGGCAGGGAGGAGAGGACAGGGAAGTTAGGAGCAGGCTCCCGGAGCTGGAAAGCCAAGTGGCATCAGGGACAGACGCGACATTCTCATCTCTCTCTCCCCCCACCCCCAACTTTTCCTAGCATCCCCCCGCCCCAGCCTAGCCAGGTCGCTCCAGGGGTCCAGGCAGATCTTAGGTTCCGGGCCCCAGAGCCTTGGGCGGGGGCTCACTTCTCCCGCAGCTCGGAGCCCCTCCTCATCCGCCCCTACCGTGGAGTCTCGGTGGCCGTCTAGGGGTCAGAAGAGGCGAGGGGCTTACAGCGCCGTCCCCGCACGCGGAGAGAGCCCTCAGCTCACCTGTGCTGCGGCGGCGACCCGGAGCCTCTCCCCCGGGGCGCTCAGCAGCCCGCGTCCACACCCCCATCTGCCCGCTTGGCGCTTCGGGGGAGCACCCGCTTGCTCTGATCGGCCTCCGCCTCGCTGTCCGTGCCCCTTCCGCCCCAAATGCGTACGCACAAGGGCGCACACACGCCCCCCTGTGCCTCGCCAACGCCCCCCCCGCCCCGCCCTCCGGCCGCAGAGGTGGGGGCATGGCTTTCCCTCGACGGCTCCCGCCAGTGTGCGTGGGGGAGGTGAAGTCCAACCCCGCGCGAGCTGCGCGCACACAGGTACGTGCCCGGGCAGCGCGCACAGCCCCGGAGACCCGCATCCGAGCCGATTTCCACGCTCGCAGCCCCTTGTGTCTCGGAGCCTTGTGTCTCGGATTTAAAGCAGTGCGCTCAGGGATGTGCGTGCACGCCTCTTCCTTCGCACAGGACAGCCTGTCGCACCAGCCCCTCCGTCCGCTTTCCCCGCAGCCCTGTCCCCACCACGCGCCACGGCGACTCCTCCCAGCGAGGTCGGCTGTCCAAAACCCATGGCAAAGTCACAGCCACAGACACCGCGCGCCGAGGCCCAGGCCAGAGAGCGCGGTCCTGTTGCCTGGGGTCCCCGGGGCGTGTGAACGCACGCTCCCGGTCCCCAGCGCCGCCTCTCGGCTCGCGCGCTCCCCACTTACCCCCGATCCTCTCCCGAACTGTGGCCGGGGAGCTCACTCCCCGCGCACTGCCCCGCCCGGAGCCCGCCAAGGCAATATTAAAGCAAAGGAGGGCTCCTGGCAGATCCTCGGGGCCAGCCTCGGCCGCCACCGGGGCGCGTCCCCACCCCGGACCTCGGAGACAGTTGGGGGGGGGAGGGCGAGGCGCGCCCGGGCGCCCACGCGACGCGGGGGCCGCACCTTACCTGGGGCTGCGGGGCCGGCAACCGGCGGCGGGGCGGCTGGCTCTCCCGCCCCGAGGCTAGGCGCACTCCCATCCCCGCCGCATGTTCCCCGCGCCGGCTCCAGCGCGCTCACCGCCGCCACCGCCGTCGTCTCGGCTTTATTTACCCAGACGGGCGCGCACGGCCCGGGAACAGGAATACCGAGGCCTTCTCATGTTTCCTGACTGCCCGGCCCAGCCGGCGAACATCCTGCGGGCGCGGTATCCACGTTCCCGGGCCGCGGGAGAGGAAGCGCCCGCGCCCGCCGCCCGGCCGCGGGGGCTGCTGCTACTGTTAACCCCTCGCAGCGGAGCTGCCCCGCGGCCCGCCGAGACCTCTCCAGGCCAGGGCGTGGCTCCAGACCCGCCGGCCGAAGGGGAACTTCTTTCCCTTCGCACTTTGGGGAAGACAGTGGAGAAGCCGCCAGGAGGTCTGGGCTCCAGCTGCGGAAGCTGGGCGCTTGCGGAGGCAGATCCGATGCCTTGAGCTGGCCCGAGCGCCCTAGGCGGGCGAGGCCGCTGGGGCGCGCCCTGAGTTGTCCTTAGCCGGAGGGAAGTTCGGGAGAGCTCGGGTTTGCACAGCGCAGGGGCGCTCCGAGAGCCTCTCCTGCTGTCCCCGGGCTGCTACTGAGAGCCTGCCTCTCTCTCTCCCGGGCAAGGCCAGGCACAGGTCCACCTCCCGGGGCCAGCGCTGCAGAGGCTGCACTCGCTGGCGGCTTGTGAGGTTGGGGGAAAGGCAAGGATGCAGCGAGGTGAGCCCAGGTGACCCACCCGCGGTAAGCCAGGTATGGAAGAGATGGCACACCCGGAGCCAGGGGTCTGCGCGCAGCCAAGGGGCTGGAGCCGGGGAAAATCCTAGGTGGGACAGAGAGCAAGGAGAGGGGATGGCCATGAGGCTGTGTTTTTCACTACCGTCCCAGACGCACCAGAGGAGGGAAGGCGGCGGTTCAGCATGGAAAGACCCTCAATGGCGCCAAAGCCGGCTGCGCGCTCGCCCGTCCCTGGCCCTGCTACCCCAAGAGCCCTTACTGTTTTGTTTTTTTTTCCTTCTTGAGAGCGAAAGTCGATTTTCCCAAAACTTCAAAAGTAGAGCATCACGTGTCTTTTTCTTCTCTAAAGGTGGACTGGCCAGTGCTGGGGCAGCGGCCCACCTAAGCGAAGCATCTTCCTTTGTATGCGGGCTGGAAGAGGTTAAAACACAGAGCAGAGCGACGTGCCGGTGTGCCGGCTACCCCAGTACCGGACGGCAAGTCCCGCAGGGACAGCGTCCGAAGCCCAAAGGGATGCGGGCGTGCATTTCTGCGCACCGGGGGACCTCAGGGTGCTGTCCTCTGATCCCGTCGCCCGCTGTCGCCGGGTTTCTTGCGTCGGGTTAACTTGCCAGTGTGGAGCGCTCTTCTTGTCCCGGGAAGGTGCGTGGGGACTTCAGGACAAGCTTCGGGCCCAAAAGACAGGGACTCATCGGGCGGTTTCCAATCCCGATGTTCAGCAAATGCCGAATTTAATAGCAGCAGCAGTAGCAGCAGGTCTGACGGGTAATCCATGGCGGGAAGAGAGTCGCGTTCTCTTTTGGGGTCTCTGTGAGTGATGGGGGTCAGCAAATATTGTAAAGAATTCAGCAGTAGCACAGCCAGTCTGACGTCTTTGCTGCTCAGCTGGGCAGCTAAAGCGACAGGCAGTTGCTTGCAATTTCACAATTTTCTACTGATTTATTGAACTCTCTGCTCTAGGAGATGCCACATAGGTCAAATGGATTTTGTGATTTCAGTGTCTAACTGCATTTACACAATTTAAAGCGTGCATGGAGAAGACTGATTGAAGGTATGTGAGATTTACATGTGTCCGTTTTGTCTGAAATGGAATAGACAGCCAAAAATCTTTCTGTGACAGTATTTTTAAATTCAATATTGGAATAATAGTCGCCTTCATAAGTCACTGGTTTAGTCACTGAAAACATTAATATATGAGTTTCTTTAGACTATAGTCTAATCTTGAGAATTCATTTTAAAATGAAAGAACCATGGTAAAAATGAAATGATGTGAATTCATCTATAATAGACAAGTGAGCATTGTTTTGTGATCGGCTAAAACTTTATTTTTGTAAGTTTCATCCTCCATGAAAGAATTGGAATGCACAGTTCCAATGCATCGATCATTTTGTTAGATTTCACCTTATGAAAAATGGATTTCACCCAACTTCTTAGGATATTTTCCATCCTCAGTATACGAAATGCTGTATTGCAACCCCCAGAAATAAAACATGCAGTTGCAGAAGGCACTGTTAGAATATTTAAGAAAGTGTAAGTAGTTTGCGGAAGACGGCCACACGTAGGAGGAAAAGAAAAACTCAGAGCAGTCGGCAGATCAGCCCTGATCTTAGTTCTGGGTAATTTGATGTTGGTTTAGACAAGAATTTCCTCAAGTGTCAATTGAAGATCAGTTTTCCATAAACTTGTCTTACATGATTGTTACAGTATTTTTTTTTAAATGTGAAAGCAATGCACTGCTGTTGCTAAAGCTAAAAAGATGGTAAGAGCACTGGCTGATGTATTAACCCATTGTGTTGGCCTTAAAGTTACAAATACAGGTGATGTTTTCTTCTTAGTAAAGACAAGACAAAGACGCCTTCAGTTATAGAATTTTGGTGTTTTCACCCTGGTACCCTGACATTGCAGAATAAATACTGGCCAAAGCGTTTGAGAAATAAAGAGTGTTTTGAAACTCTCTTTTCCAATGACTGCTGGCTCGACTGGTGTGAAATAGTAAGTTTATGAACAAAGGTTTGCCTCACCCGTGGCCAGTTTGCCTTGTATATGTATATACAAGGCGTCTTCAAAAAAGGCCAGGAAAAATAAGGATTAAGAAAAAAACCTACAATGCATGGATTGCACCTTGTAGGAGTGGGGCATACCAAAATAAACTTATGGAATCCATTTTTTTCTGGGAACACTTGGAAGCCCCTCCTGGGTATCCACAGCCATCCACCCCCACAGGAGCCCATAAGTGGAATAATGTAACAAGTGACTAGGTGCAGACACATTGGGGGTGAACTGGTAGAGGGGGTGGCAAGGCATTTTTTGCTTTGCTTATAATTTAAAGTGCATAAAGAGCACCCTCTCTTAGAGAAAGTCTTTTCCCTAAGTTCACTCTTGACCAGTCAATGACTAGGCATGAGTGGGAATCCCTCTTAAACATCTCCACCCGCCAAGAGGAGCCACTGAGATGACCACCCTGTCCCTGGGGTCCCTCCTCGGACCTTTTCCTACGCATTCGCTTACATGAATACAAACAGATAATGATGGCTTTATTTTCTGGGTTTTTAAAATAAATGAAACCACACTGTATGCAGTGTGTGTAAATACACACACCGTTTTCAGCTAAGACTTACCTTTTGATCTGTGATTGCACAGAGAAATTTCATATTAACACACAGAACTCTAGCTGCTGCTTTATGTTAAATAATACTCCACAATCTATTTCATCATTCCCCCATGAACAGTTCTGTCTTTTCAGCTTTAATTGTTGTAAAATTATTATATAGTTCTTCCTGTGCGTGCTAAGTGTTTCTCTAGAAGTAGCTACACAGAAGTAGAATTACTGAGTTTTTAAGTTTTGGTGCATACTTTTAAATTTCCCTGCAACCCACACTGACATGTACAGTCCTCACACGCTACACAGAATTCCATATGTTCAGTCTTCATAGGGTTTTCCTGGATGATGAGTAAAATAATACCTCATTGTTCCAGAACCTGTCTCTTCATAAGCTATTTGTATTTCTTAATCGATTCGCTGTTGATTAGATTCTCATTAGAAGATTTACTGATTTCTAAAGCTCATATGTAAACCATTTTCTCCTGATATGTGTGCTTAAATAATGCAGCTGTGTTACCTGGTCTGGTCGGTGACCTGTCTTTTGTTGATTTTGTGTTGGTCTCATGGAAGGTTTAATTGTGAAGAGAGACACACATATGGTCATTTCCTTTGTGGATGCTGGATTTTGTGTCTTGGTCTGGAAGACTTTTTCTACATTTTCTAATAATACTTTTAAAAAATCATTTCCCCTGGGCTTTCTAATCCATCAGGAATTCATTTTTGTAAGTTTGGAGGTAGGAGTCTCATTTGCTAATTTTTTGTTTTCCAGTATGAAAGCTAATCATTCCTGCTAGAATTGTTAGAGTGCCTCCCCCACTGATTTGAATCATACATATATGGTGCCTTCTTGTCCATGTGGAGCTCGGTCTAACAAGGCTTTGGGAGTTGTTGCAGAATGGCCAATATCCTCCAGCACATTTCATCTTCAGTTTTTGGAAACCATCTTGTGCTCCAAAGAGTTCCAGGGTTTTCCTATCTGTAATACCAGCATGTCTCCGGGTGGTGTTGCCTGGGGATGGCTCCATCACACACAGCTGATTCAGCAGCGTCTGGGTTAACACTGTCCTTTATCAGCCCAACAGCAGGTGAGCAGCTTTCCACAGCTGTCTTCTGGCGGGTTCCATGTGACTGCGCCTGGCTTTTGGAACACATCGTGCAACAAAGAAGCGACAAGCATAGGGTTATTGGAAAAGTGATGAATCCCTGCACACGGCTTGTAAGAATTAAACATGTCGGCCAGTGCCGCAGCTCCATAGGCTAATCCTCCGCCTGCGGCGCCGGCACCCCAGGTTCTAGTCCCGGTCGGGGCGCCGGATTCTGTCCCGGTTGCCCCTCTTCCAGGCCAGCTCTCTGCTGTGGCCAGGGAGTGCAGTGGAGGATGGCCCAGGTGCTTGGGCCCTGCACCCCATGGGAGACCAGGATAAGCACCTGGCTCCTGCCATCAGATCAGCGTGGTGTGTCGGCTGCAGCGGCCATTGGAGGGTGAACCAACGGCAAAGGAAGACCTTTCTCTCTGTCTCTCTCTCTCACTGTCCATTCTGCCTGTCAAAAAAAAAAAAAAAAAAAAAGAATTAAACATGTCTTTATCCATTTTTTCAGGGGAATTGAATGTGTTTTTTTTTTTTTTTCTCACAAAGCAGCTACTGACAAACCTCTAGCAAGGATTATACAGGAGTCAAATTCACTGGAGACAAAAAATGCAAGTTTTTTGTCACCAGATTTTTTTTAAGTTATCTATGTGGGGGCTGGCACTGTGGCATAGCAGGTAAAGCTGCTGCCTGCAGTGCCAGCATCCCATATGGGTGCCAGTTCGAGTTCTAGCTGCTCCACTTCTGATTCAGCTCTCTGCTATGGCCTGGGAAAGCAGTAGAAGATGACCCAAGTCCTTGGGCCCCTGCACCCACGTGGGAGACCTGGAAGAAGCTCCTGGCTCCTGGCTTCGGATTGGCCCAGCTCTGGCTGTTGCAGCCATTTGAGCAGTGAACCAGCAGATGGAAGACCTCTCTCTCTGTCTGTCTCTCTCTCTCTGCCTCTGTGTCTTTGTAACTCTGCCTTTCAAATAAATAATCAATAAATCTTTTTTTAAAAAAGTTGTCAAATTGTAAGTACCAGTATAAATAATAAGCAAGAAGACTTGAATCAAGGTGGATTAGCATCTCATTGTACTCCATAGGCTTTGAGATGGGATCTGAAGTACCCTGGAACTCCAACACCCCATCTTCCCTCTTGATCCCAAAGTATGTTTAGTAACCTCCGACAATGACCCAGCCTTACAGGAAGACACGCTCCACAATGGGGCACCCAGGGGCACCTGCAGAACATCCTG